CGTCCTCTAACAATACTGAGTCAAGAAATCACAAAACCCTCTCAGAAGTTTTTTAGTACGAAATATTATCTTATCAGCAACATATAGCGAAAGCCATCTATTGGAACAAGAATGGATCTGTTTATAATAATAAATAATAATAAGCAATCAATATGACTGATCGTATATACGAAACATATACAAGTAAATATGTAATATGTCCATGTGGCAAAAGGGCATGTATACAAATATCTCCTATGTGTGAGTTGAAGATGAGGTAGGTATCAATAATATCCTTTTTTAACCCCCACCGAGCCACTAAAGTCCACATCCATAAGCATCCCCCACCAGTGAAGGAATTCAAGGCTTAAGCGAACTTATTTGGTTTTCATATCTACACACTCTCGCAAGTATGCTTGTATATAGACGAAATTCCAATATGAACTTTTCTGTTTTTCTATCGCATGGCACAAATTTGACAGCATAAAAAATAGAGAGAAATTTCATCTCCAACAACTTGTTCATTTCGAGCTGTGCTGGAATCCCACGTGGCTACGCAACGCAGAGCCGCATGAGCTTTTGAGCCGATGTAGCTATCCATATGCATTTTTTACGGTTTCATTTTAAGCTTCTTTGTCACGTTTGCTCATCTTTTCATTCAATTCCACTTTTGTTGATAAAATCCGCTTTGTGCGAGATGCGGTACATTGCGGCTCCAACTGGCGACCTCTAAATGGCTACACAGCTGAGATGCTCGTAAACAAAATGAAATCGATATAGGTGGACTTGCAGTTTTGTTCTTGTTATAGTGAGGCATTCAGGAAGTCATTGACGGCTCTATACATTGTTTATACATATGTAAATATAAGTAGGCCCAACCATTATGACAAACTAGTTTTCATGAGCGAAGAGCCTTAACTGGTCTTAGAAACTCCTAGGCTGGATCACTCTTCCCTAAATAGTATCTTTTAAATTTATTGTTTAGCAAAGTAACAAAGATAGACTTAGCCACTTATAAGAAGAAAATGTTCTTTTAAAATGTCAAGAATTTTTATAGGTGCTGTTACAAAAACTAGTCAACGAATCTGTGGTTAGCGTTTTTTAATTGAAAATATCACATTTAAAGTTTAAAAGGTTTCCTTTAAGTCAGTCACGTTTTCGGAATATAAGATTTATTTATTTTTTTTTCATTTAACATGTTCTAACTCGCTTTTTATTATGCTAAGTCCTCTTAGCATATCTGAAAATAGACAGAATCAAGCTTCTAATATCCTATCAAAAAATTTGTAAAAAAAAATTAATATCTTGATTTATATCGTGCTCATTTAAAAACTACATAGACTTCCATCTATTCGATTAACTTCCCGATGGATATCCCTGGTAAGATTTAAGATATTTCGTTGAGAGTACCTGGGCATCCACAGAATCACATGATTTGACAATACCGTGGTCTAAATTCTTGTAGAACTTGTTTCATACCCATTATTAAATTTGTGAACAAACTTACTTATAAACTGCTTATCAATGTGTTAAAATTTAATGTTTTTGATGTTATTTGTTATTTCGTTTGTGCGAGTTTTAATTGTTTCCAATAGAACCGTTATATTGGAGGTTGATGTGTTTATGGTTCGATTTCGCTCACTTTTGCAATATAGTATGAAATAGCAAAACTTCGATTTATCATATTTGTAAAATAAACATTTTTTAGGGTGGTTCCATGCCCGCTTTGCAAACATTTTCGAACGACTCATATCAATTGACCGGCTTTAAACATTTTTTTTAGAAGCTTAAGTAACGACTGAGATAAAGCACTTATTGGTTTTCCAAAAATACGAATTTTTAGGCAAACGGACAGATATAAGTATTTTAATAAATTTGATATTTTTGATATATATAAGTACGTATAAGGCCTAGAAAACCTGTGCAGAGATAACAACGACAAACAGACCCGGGAATTCTACAACAAAATGAAGGCAGAAAAATGAGGACTCAACAGAGGGTAATTATATGGAAGAGCAAAAATGGTGATAGTAATTATAGATCAGCAGAGTATAATGAAAAAACATAGGTTGAGCACTTCAAAGAGCTATTGTGTGCAGGTGGTTCTGAACTCTATAGAAGTACAAGCATAATGCGTCTGAACAGCTCAGTGCCAGACAATTCCACTGTCAACCGTCATCAATACAAAAAATACTAGATGTAATCACATTAAAACTGAAAGCCAACCGGAGAGGACAAAATTAAAGGTGAACTTATAAAAAAACGTAAGAACCTAGTTCATAGAAAGACTTTGTCACCTCACAACATTGATATGTGACGATGAATCATTGTCAGATGACTAAAATCCTTCAATAGTAATTCCAATCTTAAAACAAGGCAGGAGAGCAAACTGCGAAAATTATATTGGAATTTCCTTTCTCAACTATATTGTACAAAATATTTTCGAGGTTTGGTCTCAAATTCAATAAAAATAAAACGAAATACGAGTATATATATCGCTCATTTACATGAATAGTGTCATAACTCAAACAAGTCGATTTTTCAGGAGAGTGGTTCAAAGTTTTCAATTGTCTCTTATTAAGCAAATATAGAAAAGCACCATAAGCTTATAGAATAAACTAGTGGTATGTAATATATTAAACAAAATACCAAGCATAAGTGAACTAAAATGGGTGTACTAAAGCTTCTTCTTGGGCATAAACGTTTTCCACTTTGAGTTATGACGTTATTTGTGAAAAATATAAAGAAAAATCGCAGTCATAAGTTAAATGTGTTATTATTGCTGAGAAGAAAAGCCAATCGCTTTATTTTTAAGTTGTTTTAAGTAAAAATATAATTCAATTAAATTCATTGCAATAAAACATAACAAAATTATTTGGTTACAAATTAATAAAAAAACTCTTGATAGAACTTATTTATTATTTGTAAGCTCAATTTTAGACTGGGAAGCTTTGCTTAGGTCAGATTTTGTATTTTTCGTATTATTGGACTTGAATATATTTCCCTGAATTGTTTCTCAGGGTAACAAACAGAGTTGGGTGACGGGTGTCGGTCGGCTATGTTGACACGTTTGTCCTTTTTGCAGTGCTTTGCTATTGAATATTGACTTATGCTCTTTTGAAATGCTACGATTACCGAATGGGTTGCATTTTCATAGCGTCGTATTTAGATAAAATGGGCTCGAAAAAGTATGAAATAATGATAATAAGTAAACATATAGAAGCATCATATGGAGTGCGCTTAGAATTAATAAGAGCTTCATATAAATGGCAATTTTATATAAATTTTATAATATAATGTCATATATAATGAATTATATGAAGTTGAAGTGAAGAAGTCTTATACCGCCGAGGGCAAGAAATCTATATTATTTCTGTTTAACAACCAAAAATTTAAATCATGTATCCTGTTTTGCGTTGTACGCGAGTAAATTGCGAACTTGTAGTAGCGAGATTAAGTATAATTATAAAAATATGCTTAATTTTATTTTTTTTTGTCGTTATACGAGTAAGATTGTTAAATTAGGTTAAAAAAATTTAACAATAAAAAAATATTTAATATTCAATGTTATTTTATTTATTATTTTGAAATTGGATAAAACAGAAGTGGTTGTAATTTACAATTGTAATCTTTTTTACACTTTTTTATTCTAAAAAATCTATTAATTATACAACATAATAAAATTATCTGAACTTATTATTGTAAATTATCAATTTCTTCAACGTTGACGGTGTCGTTACTTGCATCGCGACCAGCAATCTCCATGCTTATCAACGGCCTGTGATGCGAGGAGTACGAGACGAATCTTTGCGTCGTCAATTTGTCCAACCGACGCGTGAACACGCCGTCGATGGAAGTTTGATTCCCCGTCGTAAATTTCTTCAATTTGTCGCTTAGAACTAAACTAAAATTTAAGTCGATATTGAAATCACCGGCTACAATTACGGGCACGTCGTATAATTTTTGATCTTTTACCATTTCGAAGATCGGCAGCTTTGGCGCTGTAACCCATGAAATTCAATTCAAAAAAGTCTTTTTGTTCGTTAAAAATGATGTTTGCCGCAAAAATATCCCCGATGTCATTGTCGGCCATTGCAATTTGCCTTACGCTACCGTCTTTGCAATATTTATACAACTCGTGTTCCGTTGCTCGTAGCTCTCCGTCTTGAGCCATATATACGTAAATTGCCACACCGCCAATTCGTACTTTTGCCCCTTAAAATGCGTAATTGTGCGTAAACCATCAATGTCTCACATTTGATCGTTATTTATCCTAGTTTCCGATAAAGATAAAACTTTACACCTGGGAATGACAAAATCACTCGTTAAATCGGCCAAATGTGCATTCGGTGAATGTACGTTCAAACTACAGATGGACAATTTACCATTTACATTTGCATGACCTGTATTAACAAGTTTCAGATTAGACAACTATGCACACTTGGTGTATGTGGTCCTGCTTGTATAGCACAGCTCCATTTTGCAAATTTACACTAAATATTTTGCCTGAGTTCACATTCTAGCACAGATGTAGTGTTTTCCTTTTTAAATTTCAAAAAACTTTTGTATTAAATTTATTTTAATTTTTCCGTCATTATATAAATGTTATTGTTGTTATTAAATTTTTCCTTAACACGCATGCCGAAGAACATCTGCTTATACATACATTTGCCGTTCCCTTATAAGGTGTTGATAATTTTCTTGGTTCCTTCTTAGAGTGGTGTAGTTTGTTGAGTTCGCTTATAAAGAGCGGAGGGTTCCTTTTTGAGGTGGTGTAATTTTATTTTCGAACTTGCGCATTTTCGATGTTCCCTTAAATTAATTTACATTATAGCACAGCTAACATTTGCGCCTTCTCTATTTGTTAACATTCTCTGCTCTGACATCACGTTCGCGAACCAACGTAAAGTTTTAATGGCAGCCTATTTTGCTCAACCTATACATAAACCGCAGTGCTATTAAAACTGTGAAAGGAAGTAGGTTTTTCTTAGTGCCTATGGAATTATAGAAATGTAAGCAGATTTTTAATATATATATAGTGTTTTAATATATTATTATATAATAAGTGGGCGAAAAGCAGATTAACAAATTCTCCATAAAAACCACATAAAACTACTACTTTACTAAGCTTATGTTGAAGCTACAAGTGTTATAATAAATTGCCGCGTACTGTATGCATTTGTTTAGGGGAAATTTTCCAATTGGAATGTATTTAAACCTACATATGGCAACGCGACAAAGTCAGCTGCTGTCATTTCACATTCCACTTTGAAATAGTATTCGTAGCTCCACCGTTTGCTTCGTACTTTTCAACTGTTTGGTGTTTTGCATTTTCAGTATTTCTTTTCGGTGCGTTCGCGAAGGTTGATTATATTGTTGTCTTTAAATATTTGTACTCAATTGTTTTATATGGTTGTGCTAGCTGTTGTTATTATCCATCCCGTCTCCTCCATGCGCTGCTGCTGCTGCTGCCGTTGATTTTCCAACGAAACGTAAATACAAAAACTACTACAACTACAACAAAGCGCATTTATTGCGGTAGCAGACACAAAAAGGAAGCTTATCGATTAGTTTTCCATCCACAACCAACGAGCAAGTGAGTTGAGTGGAAAATCTTTTTTATTTGACGGTAAATAAAAAAAAATTAGAATGTAAAAGAAAACAAGTGCAAAATGTTATTGTTGTCTGTGCGCGCGGACGTAATTGACAGCAATTGATGAATGTTTTGCAGACGGAGCTTAGGTGGTGATCCGTGTCTCGTTCGGGACAACAACGCAAAACGCCCAAAAGTAATATATATTTAACGGTACTAAAATGCATGTGAATTGAGTTGGAAAATAAATATAATATTTATGTAAAATATAAATAAAATAATGCATAAAAGAGATATATAAAAAGACGTAACACAAAGGGCGGAAAATTTGCAAATAAAAAAGTCACCAAAAGCAAAAATTTGTAAAGTGCAAACAATAAAGAGGCAATACGTTAAACGGCGTACAGGGCAAAAAACAACGAATGTTAAGCAAGTACATAAAGTGAAAAAGTCCAATAAGAAATAAGCAGAATAAAGAAAAATACACCAAAATAAGCATTTGTGAAGATTAATAAAATATTAATAATAAAACCGTTAAGTGATATTGTGTGTAATTGTTTAATATGTGTAATTTATAGAAAAAAATTTTGCAATTGAAAAATCGAGTGCCAATTCAAGCAGCGATTTTGCATCACATCTGCTCTAAGCAGATAAAACCAAACACGGACCAAGCCGTGAGGTGACGTTGCCGCCGCCTGTCTCTACTGCAGCAAAGCTAAAATGTGGATATCATCCAACAACAAATACGGCGTTGGTAAGTACAGCGAACGCGCCCAAAAGCCGACTACTCTTGCGAACGCTGGGTGGCCACTGTCAACCCCCAGTTGCAGGTGGTGCCAAATCTGTTGTTAGTCGGTGGAAAAGCACCACCCACACACACTGTTCACTGCATTCGTCTGCACAATATATATGTATGTGTCACTTTTGGTGCGTGTATATATGTGCACCGTTGGGTGGTATACAGAGGATGCATCTGTTTTGTGTGTTGTGTAGCAACGTGCGGATTTTTTCGGTGAATCACGTTCGCTTTCCGCGAATCAGTGACGTTGCATACTGATGTGGCGTGTACGCGGTTACATTCACAGACCCGGAAAAGCGTTCAGTCATCAGCTCTGCACTTCTACCTATGATTTTTGGCTCTCAATTTTTCAGTTTTTTGTTTTTGTTCGTTTCTCATCTCCAGCGCGTTTTACTCTGCTTGTGCACGTTATTTGTTTGCTTAATTTGTTTTTTTCTTATGCTTGCCGCTAGCGGTAAACTAATATGGAAAAGTAAACACCTCCGAGGTATTCTCTCGCAACATCTGCTTTAGAAGCACTATGAACGTGCAAAAATACTCACGGGATTATATGTTTTTTTTATTTTAATAAATTATAGTTTTGTTTGATTTCATCCAGCAAATTCTTTGGCGCTGATTTCATTATATTTTTGCTAACTGCATTAATTATTTATGTGTATGGGTATAAATAACCAATCTAAATATTATTACTTTAATATTTTTACTGATATCGGACCACTATAGCATATGGGAAACTTTTTTATTTGACGAGGTATCTTCACGAAATTAGATCGGAATCAAGTTATTGTAAGGAACCATTGCGGAACATTAACGTTTTTTCTTGTTTTAATTGCTTTTTGATTATTCAAATGCCGTTGAATTAGGCATTGAATGACATTTAAGTTCTCATGATAGTTACTTACATGTAACCACACAGGACCTGGATTCGGCCAAAAGAGACTTCGGCAGCTTTCTGCAAAAATATTGGGTCAATACAACAATAATAGTTTGTGGGGTATATATGTAGCTCGCTGTGAACGGCCTAAAAAGTTTGCCTTCTCAAGTTTTGGGACTTTGAGAAACGCAACAGCCATTAACTCAGGATATATGACCGAATTTTTTCGAGAGTAAGCGACAAGTCGAGTTTCGAGTCTCATATTTGAAAACTCCACTCAGTATAATCATGTATTTCATTTAACTTTCACCAAAATACGATGAGTATCAGCTAAGTTTTACCTGGGAATGAAGAAGAACTCGCCGAAAAACACTTTATCTGGCACAAAGTTCAATATATTTGAATAAAAAAAAGATATTGTTATTTACGCTTCATATACTGAAATAGAAGCAGAAGTACAATAGCTTTCTAATGCATGTTCGGCATATTGGAATAATGGAATAATCATCAAGTTATGTAATCACTTGGCAAACCGCACTAATATAGTTGTAGACCCAATAAGTTAGTTAGTTAATATCTCTTAAAGTATGAAATTCCTTTAGATGGTTTATTTTATAAAATCTTAAAATTCTCCAATGAAAATTGAGTATAAAAATTGTACAGAAAATTATTAGTGGCTTTTAAAATGTAATTGAGTTCACGTTCTTCTAGTAATCACTTTATTGTATTCCGAAATCAAAAGCATTATTTTTTATATTTACTACGCCATTCTTTTCCTGCTGCAACCAACTATTCAAACCAGTTCCTCAACGGTTGGGTTAATAACCGATATTGAATGTAAATATGTATATGCACATATGTATATAACTAATTGTGTGTACTATTTGTATACATATATGTATGTAAATAATTTCATATATATGTACGTATTTAATTAAATCTACAAATTCTCTCTAGTAAGTCAGTAATATTAAAGCAATTACGATTCACATTATAATATATGGACGTTTATATACATACATACATATAATATGTACTGCCTTGTTTGCGGAAATCAATTCATAAATGCATCAAACAGAATGTACTTGCTGGTAATTATGTAAATGCATGACATATGTACATGCGTATATATCAATAAAAATTATGTTTGCATTACGAATCATTATCGCCTCACTTACTGGTTAGGACAATCAATCAAGGAAATATGCATGGAAATAAATGTATATACTTATGTAAAAATATACATATGTAAACGTTCAAATGGATGAGTAAATAATAGGCAATCAAATCGGATAATATTAAAACACTATATTTGCAGAAATGTATATATGTGCATATGATATGAAATGTAGGATGATACTGAAATGAAGGATATAGTATAAAGCAGATTTCCTAAACTTCAGAACCAAACTGATGCTACTACAGCTGAAGATATCACATATATTCTAGTTTTCATTTGAACAAATTTGTTTTTCCTACTCTTGAATTGACCTGTTTTTCCTTTATGACATGCTTAAACTAAGCCAATTCTATCATAATCAAAATTTGTGTGTGACATGTTTCATTATCCCATCTGTTCAAAATTGACCTGGACGGTTCCATTTAAGCTGCGTGCGTAAACCGAATCAATAAACATTTGCTTCTTAGATTAGTTCAAACTTTTTTTTATGTTCGTGAAGCATTCAGTAAAGGTCTTGAAGTAATTGAAAACTTACCTCATACGAGTCGAGTTTAAGACATGGGGTTTGAGAGAGATAATAGATGACCTCAACATCTATGGATTCATTCAACAAAAGCATACGACGTCGAGTAGAGGGCAAAAAAGACCTGCTTGACAAGGTAGCTGAGAACGCTATATTCATCTTCAACGCATCATTACTATCGACGAGGCATGGGTTTATGAATATGACGTCGAAACTATCCAACAGTCCAGCGAAAAGCGCTCCAAAAATTAGCCGAAATCGAAAGAACCAAAATTCGCTAAAGGCACTGAGGGCAAGGCGTAATTGTTGACATGCATAGGAAGTCAAATTTTTGTGTTATGCCTATTATCGAGATTAGACTGAAAAATATCGTTACTATTATTTCTTAAGGACTACCCTAACATATGCAAACATACAATGTACATATATTGCTATTCATAATCACTTTCTTTAATTGCTGACAAATTGTTATAGTAGAATCGAAAAACTGATAAGAGTGCATACTCGTATTCCTCAATGGTAATATGTATAATTGAACAAAGAACTCGTACTGTTACAGCGGGAAGTCCCTATTTGTATAGTAAGTAGGCTGGTGAGATTATCTGCTTTATACTTCGGTTGAAAGAATACATACCTCCCAACAACCGGCATTCGATGGAAGCACGAGTCGACACATTTGTGCATACATTGATAAAGATTTCATGGAAATATTTGTTTGTACTTGTGATTTGAACACTTGTTCGCTTTATTTGCGATAATTATATAGTAACTATTTTTGCCACTTTTCTGCCAAATTTGAGGCAAGAAAATTTACACGTGAAAGCGTGTAAAATTATACAGTTGATTTTAATTCAAAAGTATAACGCATTAAGTTTATATAACCTCTAGATATTCTATATATACTATTTATTCCAATCTGGGGAATTTATACCAGTTGCTTGTCCGATTCTTCGAGTTTTAGCACCACAGTATTACTATTGTACTTTATTCTACATTAACGCAGCGACGCGAGTGGATTAACTGGTAAACGAAATACGAATACGAAATGTCCCTATTGACAGTCATAACTTTGAAGTTGTCCACAATTTCAACTATTTAGTAATTAGACGATAATATTCCTTAAATTTTTATATATAACCAGCAAGTATTAATCTTTGAAGAAAAAAGAAGTACTTAGTTAGAACTAGCTTAGCTCTGCCATTTTATGAAACATTCGCCAGAATCATTTGCTGGATGTTTTATACCGACAAAGGAAACGTCACCAAAATCGAAAACTAAAATAACGCTTTATGATGTTCAAAATGTGAATTTTCGTTCAGTGTAATATCTTGAAAATATTCTCTGAAAATTTTAAGTTGATCCGATAATTACTTTTTGAGTTTTTCGACAAATAGCAAAGCGCGCTCGGGATCCGGTAGGTGAAACTTTAAATGCGTTTTTCTCAAAACTATATTCTTTGAACTGGTGACAACTGTAACTCGAAAACCGCTTATTAGATTTTAATGAAATTTATACCGGTTTTAAAATACATAATAAACGCAGGCCTGATCGAAAGACTTTTGTTTTATGTTGATTTTTACCCAAAAATCTAGAAAAAAATTTCCTGCGGCCGTCATTTTGTTAATTTTTGACAAAACAAAAAAAGCTTTGATCGGGCCCAGGATTATCTATTTATAAAACTAATTTTTTTATCCGATTGATTTTAGATGAATCTCCAAGGACTTAGGATTGTCACCGCAAGGATCTTTTTTTTGGAACTGGGTCAACACAGACAGCTATAACTTTGGAAATTAAAATTTATTTGGAAATTTTCGTGACTTCAAGTAAAAACATTGTATAATAACGCCATATTACTACTTTTGTAAAATAACATGATTTAATAGGAAAAAAAAATTGCTGAAAATTCTAATTTTTTTCTTCCTCTGACTACCCCTAACCCCTTAAAAGGTTATATTCAACTGCAAATTATAAAAAACGCGCCTTTTCCGTGATTTTATATTAAAGGCATACTTTAATAATAGGTCCGGAAAAAAAAAATAAAATTATTATTACTCGTACAATAGATGCATACAGGTAATGATCGAAGGACTAGTCAAAATTGTGATTGTTGACAAAATGGCAACTTCCCACAGACTCTGAACACAGCGTTTCGAGAAAAATGCGTTTAAAACTGTGGGAACCGATTACACTAAATTAAAAATTTCTATCAAATACGCTCATATCTTCAAAACTATTTGCCGGATCAACGTCAAGCTTTCGAAGAATATTTTCAAATATATGTTAACTCGATAATTAACCAAAAAAACATAGAAATTCAACTTTTGACCCTTATAGAGCCATAATCAGCATTCGACGAGAGACTCTTCGGCTGTTTAAAA